AATGCGTATATTCTTTGGGTTGTCGAAAGTCAATTATTATTAAATCATATGCCATGGGTCGTAAGCGAAAAAGTGAACAGCCTTCGTCAACGTCCGATAGAATAATGTCAGATTATTTTTGGTATGCCACCACCAAAATGCTACAGATGATAAATGCCTAAAATGGTGAATTTTACTTATTTTAATACCCATTTACACTAAATAGGAAATGATTTTTACCTACAAATAATTCAAACGTCTTTATTTAGTTTTCTAATAAATGAAAAAAATGTTTTACAATTTAATTTGACGGAAGAAAAAAGTTAATATATTTTGGGACTCATTAAGTCGCATCGATGTCATCCTTATCAGTGATTGTAGCGGCCTAGCGAAAATTCACTACTGATCAGTGTGCAATTGAATGTTGAAGCGATATCGACTTCCACAATATGTTTGCATGTACCTCAAAAGTCCGCGGCAAAGAGAAATTTCAAAAGACATAAAATCTTAAGTGCATTTGGAAAAGGTAGATCTTTTACTTTTAGGGATGAATGGAAATTTTCAAATCTTTGCGATATCAGTAAGGGCTTGCTCACAATATTCATGTGGCAACTGCAGACTGTGAAGAGGGTTTAGTAGACAAAATATTATTTAAAAAAAAAAAACAAATACAGGAATTCATTAAAACAAACACATTGTGTAATTTAATGTTACTAAGTATTGGAAAAGAGGTTACCCCAGAGAAGAATTTTGTAAATTGTAATATCATATGTATATTGTATGTACTTATGTAAATGAAAATTACTGAAAAAATCTAATAGATATTTTATTCTTTTTTTTTTGTCGGAAAAATATATGGCTAATAAATTCAAATGAAAAATTGGCGGAAAAAATGGAACCCAGAGTGAGCACTGGCCCAATATATTATATTAATATGATATTTAACTATATAAGTAAAACAAATGCAACCTACCTCACCCCGCTCGTAAATAATACTCATAGTATTTATACTTACTGATTCATCGCAAGTTGAACCATACCACATAAACAATGTAAACTTTTGACTTGCTGCAAGTGTTGCTTTCGGAACGATTGTCACGTCTCTATATCATGCATCTATATTGAAAGAGATGTATTACGTACATCGTTATAAAATTTAGATAAAATCCGCGAAGGCTGGCGAACGTCACCGTAATTAACGATATCGGTAGAGTTTATTCTCGATACCGCCAGACGGAGAAACTTCAATATCAGATGGCGCCTTATTGATTACAGTTGAGGCTTAATGTCAATACAAGAGATATTATATATTAAAACACATCCATCTCCTTGTAAAATTAAATTTTATAATAGAACTAAAAATAGAACTCGTCAATATGAAGATCAAATATCACGTTAACACTCCAGATGTTACAATATTGTGTGTCTGATCATTTAATTTCTAAACATTTAGTAGCCGCGGTGGCTAAGCGGGTAAGTCGCTGGCTCGCTAGCCTGGAGGTCGCGGCATCGAGAAAGTTCATCTGGATTTTACGACGTGGGTTCCTCTTGTCAGTGGGGCATGACGCAGAGCCTGAAAAGGACAGTTGTCTAATCGTTCGGATGGGACGAAAAACCGAGGTCCCATGTAGACATTGGCGTGCACGTAAAAGAAAGATTCCTTGGCAGTTGGAGTTCGATATAAGAGTAGGCCGTAGAGCCGCTATCCGGGCAAAATTTCCCTCATAGCACACTGAATGGCGCCTGTCCGTCTTCATTAGCCCCGTCGGAGGCTCGGAGCAGAACAGCACCATGTTAAACCCCATTTCATTTCACTTCTAAATATTTAGGGGAGTTAATTAATGTGGTTTATCGTCTTACTCTTTCGCACTAACCCGGATAACGGAGACGGGCAGATGGGTAAAGTGAGAAAAAAAAGTAGCTGGCAAAACCAGTGCCCGAAACCTAATAAAACACCAATTTTACCTTCCTTTTAATTGAGTACCGGGAATTTCTACTGAATTGACTATGGTTTAAAACATTTTGTCTAGAGCCACTCTACTTTGTGCGACATTTTTAGGGCACCGATTATTATTTGTGAAAGCAGAAATGGGGTTTGGCGTCCACTCGACACAAACTAGGTCATTTCGGGACTAACATATGATTCAATTTTATTTTAATAATCCGCTTGCGCATAGGGTCTTTAGCAGTGGGAGGAAACCGGAGGACCAGGAGAAAACCAACGAGGTTGGACAGGCGACCTTACTCCTTGTCACGTACAACCGGGGAATCGAAACCACGCCAATTAACTCAATTCACGAGCTGGAATAGCAGGAAAACGCGTTTGCGGCCGTCAAATTTTCCAAATTATCTAGGGGGATCCGTACACGGTAAGCACCGCCCCTTCGTCTCTCGCAAAAGACTGACGCCGCCCTCTAGAAATTATTTTTTCGGGCATTTTGGGTTCTCTTCCCCACCCCAACAGTCATCGACCCCGTACGCCTATGTTCTCTAGCTAATGTTTTAACTTATTAAAGAAATAAAGAAATTTGTTTAGGACGGCGACAGACTAGAAAGCGATTCGAAATAATTATTTGGTATAAGGGAGAAAAGCCTTGTACCTTTTCAAGTTATTTTCTTTCTTCAGATGTGCGAGTCTGGAACAAGACAATCTGGGAAAGACAACATCAACGGTACTGGTAATGGCCATAATCACTATCAGAATGGTGAAGAAATAGACATGTTGATGTACTTTAAGTTAAAGAGAGTAAAAATTAATATTTCAACCTAACACAAATTTGATACAGATCTCATGCGTGCCAGTTATTTTGAATTCCGATGGGGATCAGTTTGATCGTTGATATGGCACGTGCGTCGATTCATAGACAATTCTTACAGACAACTTTATTCTTAGTGTTTTAATAGGTGTATTAAATATTCTCGCACGGCTCGATAAGTAGGCCAAACTAAAATAAAAATATTTAGAAACATGCGTGTTTTGATTGCATGACTGTATTTTTTCATTAATCTTAAAAAGAAAACTACTGTTTGACGCTACACTAGCATTTATTATGGTTAGTGTAGCCTAATATATTATTTACCGGGAGTAGAATATCAAATCGTTACTTGTGCAATTACTGTATCCATTGGGACATGATTAGTAGTAAACCTCACCAAATTTAGAACCAGGTAATTAATTAGGTTGTCCTGCGGGGGACAACAGTGCCCCTTTATCCACCCGTGTAAAAATATAATATCTCAACCAAAGGATAAAGTGTTTATTGTAAGTATTCGTAACCCTGTCCGTGAAAAACAAACGGCAATTAGATGGTGGGTTATAACGGTTTAATTAGAAAGATGCTGGCGTGTGTCATAATTGGAAGAGTTGCCATTGTAACAGTACAGCTGCTCTTATCCCTTTCTATCTGATACCAATTTTAGTATGAATAATAACAAGACATGTGCTGTTTAACACTTGATGTCACCTATGATTGATTATTATATCAAATAATAATGAAATACGGGTAATTTGTGTTGTGACGTTATGATCTTTGCGTCTTTTTAATCAACTTTGACTTGTTTAAGTATGATTACTTTGATAAGGATAAGGTACACACACCGTACACGCAACCCGGTATAAATTAAAAATAGGCAAGACTATAAATACATATAAATTGTGTAATGTGTACCACTAGGAATAGATATCCAATGCTAGAAAGAGATTGGGTCCGATGCATTTAGAAACTATAAATTACTTACTTTTATAGCGTTTATATGCCGATATAACATTAATAGACAGAATCCTTGTTAAAGGCTCAATACCACTCTTGTTGTAACTGAATAATATGTCCCAATCTTTATTCTGGTCAACAAATTGTACTATTTTAGAATATTTCAATTAATTGATGATACAAATTTTATCTTAACACACCTTATTTAAAAACTTTGAAAAATTCAACATAATGGTTTGAAACGTCTAACGTAAACCTTTTCAAATGAAACTTCGATTTAAAAATATTTTCGAACCCTCTGGACAAGTAAAATAGGATGTAATGGATAATTTACACAACAGGTAGGACACTTAAACATCTAGTGCTTAGATAGAGATATTATTTATTTTCTGGAGCTTTCAAGCCAGCAAGAGTGTTATTGTCCCTTTAATATTTTAAATCTAGCGTGAATACGGCTTGGAGACAAACTGTATGAGTTTAAGCATTAAGGTTTTTCCCCACAATTCGTTCAATAATGAAGAGCATACTAAAACTATATGGTGTATTGGGGATTAACCTCCAATTCAAAAGATAATTCTCTAGTGAACTAGAGATTCCGACTTTTAAAAGATTTTTGCCTTTTACTCATTTTAATACCTATTTACACTAAATAGGAAATAATTTTTACCTACAAATACTTCAAACGTCTTTATTTATTTTTCTAATACATAACAAAAAAATGTTTTAGAATTTAATTTGTCGGAGGAAAAAAGTTAATATTTGAGACTCGTTAAGTCGCATAGATGTCATCCTTATCAGTGATTGTAGCGGCCTTGCGAATATTCACTTATGATCAGTGGGTACTCTCGGGTCTGGAAGTGTTAGTTCTAAAAACTAAGGCCAACTGCTGATTTTGTCAAAAGTCACGGGATGTAAACAGAGCTAGCACTAACAGTAGCCCTAAACCACAATCAGGTGTCCTAACCCTATTTAAATCTCGCGAACTTGACGAAATATGCAGTGGAATTTAATTTTTAGACTTTGCCGATCTGGAAGAGATGATGTGAGGTATTAGCCAGTGGAACGGTCTGTTGTGGCGAGTTCTTGACGTGTGGTGCACGAAACTGTCGGTAGACATTCCCAGTGAAGACAAAGCAAAAGTTGTATTTCCAAATACCCACTTGAAACATCCATGCTGATTGGTTAATCTAAATTCTGACATCATATGGTCAAAAGCCGCACTATGACTTCCCACTAAAACCGGTCAGATCTTTATGTAGTCCTACATGTAGTGGAGGCCATTGAAAGAACAAAAAAAAAAAAAAAACGAAATATAGATCCCTATTTTAATCAGATTGTACAATAGAGTCTATTATTTAATCTGAGCAGGAAAATGTGTAAAGTATATTTTGTAAAAATATTACAAATTATATAATTATAAAAGTATACAGGGCAATTGTTTATATTTAGTATAGTAACCAATATGAAGATGTATGACAACCGAACCTTTTGATGATGCTTACAAAATGTAAATAATATTCTTTAATTGAACATATACCACAAAAAAAACACATTAACTATGGACTAGCATTATACAGAATATGTATAACTTTATACATATGGCACGATCTTTAAAATAATGGTTTGTTGGCATTGAATTTCTCACTATATATGATGTCAGTTTATAGTATATACCGCAATACCAATCAAAATTTTAAAATATTGTAAATACTCCTTATTCACAAGATGAATATGCTAAAACAATTAACAATACACACATTTATGTTTTATACTTTGGTAACTTCAAAGGTTATGACACAAATGCACAAACAAATAAATTCAAGAGACAAGATTTTTAACTAACTGGAGGTACAGAAAATATTAAGCTGTTATTTTTTAAATTCTGTTCTCCATTTCTTACACTTGAATTTATAGAAAACTGAACTATTGGTGCCAGATTGGTGAAGTATTATGTGAACTGGAATGTGTTAGCTAATAGCTTTCTTTTCTATGTGCATATATTACCAGACAATGCAGTACTAACTGCCCAACATTAACAAAATATTACAGACATTGGAGAATGAAAAAGAAAGAGATTTACATCGCTCTTCTATAAATTGCAGTAGATACTTTGGTTTCAGTTTAAACGTGCAGTGGGAAAGAAAAGCCATGAGAAGGAGATTGAATACTGCACAATACTTGGTTATTCTGACATAATGCACCGGGAAGAATTTTTCCTGCTTACTCTTCTTCAAATTACAACTTTGTGGTCAATGTGAATACACACACTTCTCATTATAATCCCTATTGGTTTTACCCCAAGCTTCAATTAGTCTTTACTAGATGGAACACTGTAGTCAAACCATAGATCAAGTGTACAATAGAATTGTGCAGTGCCATATACAGGAATTTCTAAACAACATTATTTGGGTTTAATAAATTAGTTATATGGTGTATCTGGTAAAATACTGTTGGGCCGACCAAGCCCTATTATAGGGAGCCTTGGTAGGGGTTGGGGTGGGGCTGGTTCATAGCTGGAATATGTATATCTGTAGTTTTAAAAAGTTAGGGAATTAATGAAAAATTACATGCATAGGTTATATAAAATCACATTATGATACATTGTCTCCACCTAATCATGGCCAGCATAAAATAAATATCTTCTTCACTTGAATTATTGTAAAGCCTGAAAAATATAACATAAATTAACTGAAAAGAAGTCAGCTATAGCTGAGGGTCAGTGAGGGATGTTTTATATAATGGCAAGATATTTTTCCCCTTTCGCACCGCCCGGACTCTCGGAATATGAGGACAACAAATATATGTATAATAAAGTCTCCATAAGACAGTCTCATACAGCTAGTATGATTTCTTCTTCAGTTTTGGAGTAAATCTAAATCTCTGAATTCTGACATACATAGCTCAGACAGTATCATATTATTACCATAATATAATTTAAGCCTGATTCAAAATGGTGTCAAACTAAACAACTGAAGCTCACAAGATCAAACAACATATTTTCCTTCAAACCATAGCATTGTTACATCTAAAGAATTTTAATATAAAATCAGGCATTCCAATGTTTTTTTTTTATTTTCTGGTGCAGTCAGTAAGGTCTTACCTTTCTAGCAAACTCTGGTAGTACGAATGCTGATCGATGTATTTCTGTATTATAATATTTCAAATCCATTTTTCCTAACTGTTCTTGAGTCACTTTTCTAACTGGATTTCTCAAATCTACATTCTTTAAAGATACATTAGTTAAGAGTTTTATAAAGAGTTGGCCATTCTTGCTATAATAATTCAAAAATAGATGATAAAAAAAGAAAATGTTCATTTTAATTTTAAATGGGCGACTGTTTAAATCCAAACTGTATCAAAGCCATCCGTGGGTCTACAGAGTTGAATTTGAGCTTGTCGTGTAAATAAAGGTCTAATTAATAATTTCGATAACATCTGAAGCCTAAATAAAAACTTGCAATAGGCAGATTTAGCTTTTGCATAATGTATGTTTAAAGTTTTAAATAACAGTAGTTTAAATAAACTTAATTCCCATTCATAAATAACACAGTGTATCTACCACATCATAGTCAAATAAAATATTAGTTACAAAAAATAGGTATTAAAGGAGGAATCCCAGATATAAAACAGCTCAACTTTCATACATGGTAAACAGACTATTTCTGTACATTACAACATTGGATTTGCACAAGAGAATTTTTTTTTTCTGAGATACTAAAACAAGCAGTTGCCATGCACGATACACCCACATTTTGCAAGAGATGGACAGAGAACAAGCTAAAAACATTATTTTAAGTACAATTTGGGGGTATAATCCAGGAGGTTATGATCCGATATACACCAATATCAAAAGGAACCAAGATCATAAGATTATAACTATACTTTCAACTTTCATCAAAATTGGATAAAAATTGTGACCTCTAGATATTCACAAGCTAAAAATTTGATTTTTCATACAATAAGGGACCATAATCCATGAAGTTACGGTCCAATAAAGTCAATATCGAAATGAACCAAGATCTTTAGGATATAAAGGATATAAACCTATATTTCAAGTTTCATAAAAATTGTGACCTGTAGAGTGTCCACAAACAAAATGTGAACGGATGTCCAGATGGACAGGGGCGACAACAATATATACGTCCACATGAAGAAGTGGGCGTATAAAAAGTGGGATTCCTCCTTTAACATAAGAAAAATGTAACAGGATGTCTGATAAAACAGTTTAAGGATAGAATGATAAGTGGGTTGTATCTGTAGAAATAGACATGGGTTAAAGGTCAAACCACTAGTACCTAGATTTAAACTGATACTATAAACTGGGGTAAATATTGTCATAATGATTAGAGCAAGATGCAATTTAGAGGTGGTTGTCATCTACAAATTTAAATATCAACTTACTGGATTTTTGCTGCATAGAATAAATCCTATCTGTCCACTAGGATAGGTAGGTATAGTTGTATAGGAATAACCAATAGTAGGGTACAAAGTCTTACAGAAATCTAACATTCCCTTAATTAGATCTAAATGTAACCAGGTACATTCACCTAAAATCAAATCAGAAATATAATAAAATCTGTAATTCATTCCTCAATTTTTAACCTGTATTCAACAGAAATAACTTACAAACAAGGTTGTTTCTAGCCACTCAATCTAGTAACAAATATGACTACATTTTAATCATAATCATTGGGACCTTGGCACATGAATGTTAATGCTGTCCTTTTTGGAAACTTTATTCAGAGTGTGCAAGTTACCATCTGATCTAAATAATCAGATAGACATCCGTCTCCTACTGCAAGGGCTATCTCTGAGTGTCTGTTTAGATATTCTGAAGTGTTTCCTGTCAAGCCCAAGTTGTTGTATTCTAGTCATGTAACTACATGCTGTAACACATCCCAGTGAAATGCTATTATTATTAATTATGTTCCATACATTTTCATATACATGTATATATACGCCTACAGGATATATTTGACTACTGGTATTGGTAAAAAAAAAAAAGAAATAAAATTCAGATGTGACCAGTAGCCATTGGATATTATTTACCTTGACTAGATAAAATACCATCAGGTTTCAATGATTTCTCCATGTGTTCATAATAAGACTTTTCAAACAGTGATGATGCAGGACCTACAATAATATGGATTATCAACATAGTACTTGTAATATAAATAAATACATTGCCATCAAAATTTCGAAAATTACCTATTGGCAGTTAGGTCTAAATATTAAGGTCACCTGCAGATTTTGTCAAGGTCACGAGCAGTAAACAGGGCTAGAAGGTGGCCTTAATATTTAGATCTGACCCTAGTGGCTTCTTAAATTATATGTAGAACAATTCTGTGCAATTACTAAAAATAATTTTTCTTCATGATTACAATAGGCAGAAAGGGGATTTCGTAGATATATGACAGATTAGGATTTTGTGGAAAGCCCATACATTTAATAAAGCTATAACTGTGAAATTTCATTAGTTATTTCCCAAAGTTTAAATAACTGTCATTTCAAACCAGGAACAATTTGGATTTTGGTTGCACGTACCCTGTATGACCCGTGACGGCACCTTTCAACTTTTTGACATAATACACATGTAATCCAAACAATATTCATGCCATTAAGATTAGTGTTGACAGGAAAAATGCCTGTTTTTTTCATCAAAGTACAGGGGCCATAATCCAGACAGTTATGGTCTGAAATGCGCAAATATCAAAAGGGACTCAGATTTTTGGAATATAATGATATGTTTTCAGTTTCATCAAAATCAGATAAAAATTGTGACCTCTAGAGGGTCCATAACCTTTGTATTACATACTTATACACAATTTGCGTACAGAGCGGCCGCAAGCTAAAAATGCGATTTTTTGACCAATCAGGGGCCATAATCCAGGAAGTTACGTTTTGATATGTGTGATTATCAAAAGGAACCAAGAGCTTTATGATAAAAACATATATTTAAAGTTTCATCCAAATCGGATAAAAACTGTGGCCTCTAGAGGATCCACAACCTTGATATACCATATTTCTACACTATTTGCGTACAATTTTTGTCTGATTTTCCTGAAATTTGAACACGTTTTTTTAAATCGGATAAAAATTGTGACCTCTACGGGGACCACAAGCTCAAAACACGATTTTTCGTACTATCAAGGGCCATAATTCAGGAAGTTACGATCCGATATGCGCAAAAATCTAAAGGAACCAAGAACTTTGGGTTATAAACATGCATTTCAAGTCTCATCAAAATCGAATCAAAATTGTGACCTTTAGGAGGTCCACAACCTTGATATACCAGATGCTTACACTATTTGCGTACGGGGGGGGGGGCATTTTGTCTGGCAGTTTTGGTCCGATTTTAATAAAATTTATACTAAACCAACAATACGGTGTAACGTAGATATATTCAAACATTTTTTTAAATCAGATAATAATTGTGACCTTTAGAAGGACCACAAACTAAAAAAGCGATTTTTCATACAATCGGGGGCCATAATTCAGGAAATTACAAACTGGTATGCGCGAATATCAACAGTAACTAAGATCTTTGGGTTATAAACATGCATTTCAAGTTTCATCAAAATCGGGTGAAAATTATGACCTCTAGAGAGTCCACAACCTTGATATACCATTTTTTTACACTATTAGCGGACAAGGGACGGCCATTTTGTCTGAAAGTTTTGGTGTGATTTTCACTAAATTCGAACTCAACCATCATTAGGGTGTAGCAGTGATATACTAAAAAGTTTGTTTTTTTAATCGGATAATTTGTAGAATTTGTAGCAGATTTTGTTCTTCACAACAATGAATTTGAATTTTCTGGTATGTTTTATAGACAGATATCAGGGACTGCCATGGAAACTCTGTTTGCTGTGACATATGCTAACATTTATATATCATACTGGATGAAAACCTACTATGAGCCATTACCTAATAAACAAGATATTTCATGCAGATTCATCGATTATCAGGCTTTATCTTCTCTCCCACTAGAAGAATGTAATAATTTTGTTTCAAAATTAAACCAACAACATCCAAAGATCAAGTTTACTGTAGATATCAATAGCAACTCAGTTAATTTCCTAGATGTAAAAGTTGTCAAAGAAAAAGACAAGTTAGAGACAAATCTATATTCCAAGAAAACAGATTGCCATCATTATCTTCCTCCATCAAGTTGTCACCCCAAACACACCTTTAACGCTATCCCGTACAGTGGTGCTCTACGATAAAACAGATTTGTAGTAAAGATAGCGGGACCAAATCAAACCTAACAAATTTTGGATCCTATCTTGAACAAATCGGATACCCCCAAGAAAATTTGGCATTTAAATGCGCAGATCAGAAGACCAGGACTGAATTATTGACCTACCAATCAAAGACCGATACTAATGTGAACATTATTCCATGGACAACTACCTTTGATTCTCGACAAACTCACCTTCACCAAATGATTAAAGACCGAAGTATTTTAGACACAAGTTCACGTATGACAAAAATTATGAATAGCAGCAAAAATAATAATAGCAGAGAGAAAGAACCACAGTATTGGCAATATCTTGAAAGAAAATAAGTTGAGAAGTTCTGACACTATTAATAACCATATTAAGGACAAATTATACAAATCATGCGAGACTATGTGTAATAGCCTAATCAAGAAGTAACCAGTAAACACATGAAATCATTCAAGATGAGAGACTCTGTCAACTGTGCCAGTTCTTATGTTGTTTATTGTTTAACATGTAAAACCTGTAGTATACAATATGTAGGCCAAACCATTACTCCTTTCAGCACTCTACTTAATAAGCACAGAAGTAATATTAAGCTTAAAAAACCTGGCCATTTCCCCCATTTTAATATACCGGGTCATGATTTCGTGTGTACCATAGTACAAAAAATTCCTGACAAAGATCAGAAAAATTTGAACACAGCAGAAAGTCTGTGGATTCATAGACTTGATTCAGTTTGGCCTAACGGTTTAAATGAGTTAAATCCAGGGGGTTTCAAAATCATTCATAATTTTCCTTACTTGTAAAATTTTACCTTCAGCTAACCTTTCACGTTATGTATGTAAGTCTATGACGTCATCATTCCCACGATGTCATAACTTCCTATGATGTCATAACTGACTTCCAGTCATTTTGTATTATGTTCTTCATCCCTGAAGAAGTTAGTATTTTTACTGACGAAACGTTGGATAAAACAATGTTTTTTTGATATTGTATTCTATTAATTATTTTATATCACATGAAAATGTGGGCGTATAAAAACGATAAAATTTACCTATTGGGTCACTGGAGTCGGTGATAATAACATCATAAATTCCTTGATGTTGCTTCATATATTCAAAACCATCTTGAACATTTAATGTAAATTTTGGATTGTCAAAACTGGTTGATAGAGTAGGCAAATACTTTTTACTTACTTCAATAACTTTCTGAAAATAGAAAACTTCATACATGGTATCTCTGAAATTAGTTTCACAGATCTATTAAGCTTTGATTTATGGGTGACATGACACTTGTGCTTTCGTTCACATTATAAAGACAAAACAAGTCAAGAAGTATCAAATGATCTGTAGTCTAAAGGTATTTGTGTAAAAACATTTATGACAAATATTTAAGTTTACTTACCTCATCTATTTCACACATATCAACAGACTCTACTTCTGGGTGCTTTAATACTTCTCTAGCTACCCCTCCATCTCCACCACCTATTATTAAAACCTTTAAAACAGATATTATAATTAACATTTAATTTCTCGAGCTATAATTCCCTCTCCACCATCTTTTAAGGATGTGTTATGTTAGATTTAGATTCTTGCTATAATAGTTCAAAAATAGATAATGGAAAATGAGCAAAGTTACAAGTGTTTTAAGTTTTGACAAGATAGTCTTGATTGTCAAGTACCATTGCTACGATAAACAAAGTCTTGATTATCCATTTTAACATTAAATTATTAAATGGTGTGGGTGTTCTAATCCATTCATTATCTAGGCCATCTGGTTGTCTAGAGAGTTGATTGTGGACTTGTCATGTGAATACATGTCTAAATAATAATTTATGTAACATTTGAAGCAAGAAAAAGACTTTCAATAGGCAGATTTAGCTCTTGTATAAATGCATCTTTTAACACAAATATTAAATTCTCAAACTAGAACTCCATATCTACATTAATTTTTAATACAAATATCATAATTAATTTCTCAAGCTAGAACTCCATCTCTACATCAACTTTTAATACAAATATGATAATTAATTTCTCAAGCTAGAACTCCATCTCTATATTAATTTTTAATACAAATATCATAATTAACTTTTCAAGCTAGAACTCCATCACTTCATTAACTTTTAATACAAATATCATAATTAACTTCTCAAGCTAGAACTCCATCTCTACATTAAATTTTAATACATATATCATAATTAACTTCTCAAGCTAGAACAACATCCCTACATTAACCTTTAATACAACTATCATAATTAAATTCTCAAGCTAAAACTCCATCTCTATATTAACTTTTAATACAAATATCATAATCAAATTCTCAAGCCAGAACTCTGTCACAATATCAACTTTTAATACAAATATCATAATTAACTTTTCAAGCTAGAACTCCATCTCTACATTAACTTTTAATACAAATATCATAATTGACTTATCAAGCTAGAACTCTATATCAGTTATCACCTATTATTAACACTTAGTAGACTAAATAATGATTCAAACTAGACCTATATTTTTATTACTCAGTGAGCCTTCTCTACTCATCTTTATCATCAACGCTACGATACTAGCTATATATATATATTTATATTTATTGATTTGTTCACATTTTTTAATAAAATAAATATGGTTATTGGCTATATTGCACATTAATATTATTGATAAATAGATAATATAATAGTGAATTACACATTAATATTCAGCTCATTATCATTGCTTTGATCAAATTTTTTTTTATTTATAGGCTATATGTATTCATTTATAGCTTCCTATTATTGTATAAATACCTATATGTATATGTTATCATTTGCTTGATAAAGATGAGAGTACCATCGCATACCGGTAAACATTGCAAGTTCATAACTCAGTCGTTATTGTTATTCCATATTTAAAGTAACTAAGTCTCTAACTCAATATCATCCAAAGTCTTACACGTTGAAAACGCAAATTATTTGTCAATTCAAATCAACATTGATGTTGTGATATTACCAGGAAAAGGTAGGCTTCTGATATCCAATATTTAAGACAAAATAAACATTTTACTATTGTGGTACATGAATCGTGTACCATAGTGCGTTTCAGTGTCATTTGTAACAAGTGACTAGAAAGAGCGAGGCTAGACATATTCCACATCTCATGTCAAATAGACTGGAATAACCAGACGCTAGAAATTGCCATTCGGTTGAGACTCATGCCGTATTTCGCTGGATGTAACTGATTTGAAACTAGAGCCAAAACGGAAACAATTGAATGTAAATCAGTTTATATACAATCAGATTACATTATTATATGCGTTGCCACCCATTTGGTTGGGTCAATTTCTAGGTCCCAAATATTAGCAATTTAGCTCCTTTAAGTTACTCTTCAGTTACCAAATGTCACTTAAAGAAGAACTCCTTTCACTGTAACCCAGGTATCATTTAATCTTGTGTATCAAGCACTAATTTCTTTCACATTTGTTTAATATCAAATCTTTGTTTAAAAATTTGTAAAAATCGTTTAAAATCACCGAAAATCATCTAATTTGTACTTGTGTCCAGTTTAAAGCTGACTGATTAATTTTGATAATGAGTGTCCAATTTGTATTAATATTGCTAGAATTTTTGCTCTCGAAATTAATGGTGGCAGTATATTTCATTAATTAATATCTTTGGCAAGTTATTAGATTCACATATATGTAGAATTGTCCTTAAATCAACTTAGTGAATAAGTGACAGGTTGACACATAAAAAGAGTTACAGAACCAAAACATAGCTGGTTGTATGTGTCAAAAAATACCACGAGATTACATGTACTTGGAAATTTACTAATTTTATCATTTGGCAAAAGTAACCAATCATATCAGAAATTGCACAAGTTCAAGGCACGCTTTTCTGTGCGTGATATCCAGGAGTCCTATAAAAGAAATCATGGTAAACTTTTAAGGCAGATTTTCATTAGATTCGGAACAGATTACCATCTGAGTTCCTGGACAACAGCTTGATTCCAGAAGGGAAAAGATGTAGCAATTTCTATCAGCAGACTCGCCCAATGAAGCTGGCTGGATGAGGTTTGAGAGAATGACTTTATTCTGTTAGGCCGCGGTTAATTAATTGTCTGTTTCTCATGACCCGCCCGCATGTCTGTTTTCTTCCGTAATAATCACGCACTTCTTTAATTATTCGGTCAAATTTAGTATTTATTAGTAAGAGAAAATTTGTTGAAAATATTTGTGAAGTTACATTTTTTTGGCCACGCTATGAACAATCTATTTATTTTATTCATAAATATGACGCGTCTACGGTGTATAATTAACTCGGCAAAAATACGAAGCCTTTCCGTAAACAGGAAGTTCTACTATGAAGCCAGCGCGATTACCCAGACACACTTTAGTCAGTGATTTTGACAAGACTGTCGTCTTGGAAGAAATTTTAATACATGGTTTCGTATATTATCTAATAAATTCCAAAAATTCGGCTTGTAAAATTTTTCCATTACGGATTTAGGTTAATTTCTGATATATCGCTGAGACGTATTTAAAAAGGAATGATAACAGTAATACAATGTAGATCCTAATGTTTTTAAAAATTACAGGCCAGTCTCTAACTTAAGTTTTATTTCTAAAATATTGGAGAAATGTATTGCTTCTCAGATAAAGGCCCATCTAGATGATAACTGTTTGTATGAACCATTTCAAAGTGCTTATAAACAATTTCACAGTACCGGAACAGCTTTAACGCGGGTTTCAACTGATATTTTAATGGAAATTGATAATAGAAAATGTACATTTTTAATTTTATTAGATTTATCTGCTGCTTTCGACACGGTGGACCCTTCCATTCTTCTAAGTAGACTGCAATTTAAATTCGGTATTTGTGGCTCTGCATTAAATCTTTTAGAGAGCTATCTTGTGGGTAGAAAACAGTGTATTTTAGTTAATTGCAAATCGTCGTCTGAATCTGTTTTGTCATCTGGGGTTCCCCAAGGTTCTGTTCTTGGTCTGATTTTATTTACCCTCTATATGTCACCATTAGGAGATATTGTCAGAAAATATGGTCTCAGCTTTCATTTGTATGCCGATGATACTCAATTATATATTTCATTTACACCTAATTGTCCATCTTCTTTCAATTTATCAAAATTGCAACTTGAGAACTGTATTAGTGAAATTAGAAAATGGATGTCAAAGAACTTTCTAAAATTGAATGATGATAAAACCGAATATTTGTTATTAGGCTCAAGGCATCAATTAAGTAAATCTGCACAAGATAACCCCCCTGTTGTAATTGGTAATTGTGATATATTTTCATCTTATTCTGCTCGTAATATTGGCGCTATCTTTGATAGTTTTATGCTTATGGGAGCTCAAGTAAATAATATTTGTAAATTGTGCTATTTTAATATTAGAAATATAGGTAAAATACGTAAATGTGTAACTGTAGAGGCCACTAAGTCACTTGTTAATTCTCTGGTCACTTCTCGATTAGATAACTTTAATTCACTTTTAGTTGGTTTACCTTTAAAGCTTATAGATAAATTACAAAAAGTACAGAATACTGCGGCTAGACTTGTTACTTTAACTAAGAATTGTGACCACATAACTCCTGTTTTATATAATTTACACTGGTTACCTGTTAAATATCGAATTGATTTTAAGATTTTATTACTTACTTTTAAATGTTTAAATAATTTAGCTCCTGTTTACCTCTCAGATCTTTTAGAACTTTATACACCTGGCCGAACATTACGTACATCAGATAAACTACTTTTAAAGCTCAAAACTGTTCAACTAGTCTCCTATGGTCAGCGCTCTTTTAGTTATCAAGCACCTGTTTTATGGAATAATCTACCATTTAGTTTAAGATGTTGTACATCTTTGTATTCTTTTAAAAAACAACTTAAAACACATTTATTTAATCAGGCTTTTAACTGACTCTGTATACAATCGTTAACATGCCCTTGTCCAGGACGTTATATAACGACCTACGCACTTAACGGGTTAATCATAATACATCATTAATCAATTGGGTTGTTTATTTTTTAACAGTGAGTGAGAAATTAAACACTTGTAAATTGGACACTCATTATCAAAACTGAATGGTCAGCTTTAAACTGGACAGAAGTACAAATTAAACGATTTATGGTGATTTTAAACAGTTTTTACAAATTTTTAAACAAAGATTGGATATTAAACGAATGTGAAAGAAATCAGTGCTAGATACACAAGATTAAATGATACCTGAGTTACAGTGTTTAGTTACCTTCAAACCTAATCATCAGTTTAATATCAATAGAAAAAGTTTTATACTAGTAAGCCCACTATTAACATTTCCAATATTTCAATAGCATCAGTCTTGATTTAAAATCATAGAAGACAAAACAACAACAAAAAAATATTGTGGCAAATTGTTTGAAGAAAAAATATATGATATGACTAAACAAACTGGTGGGACAAACAGTACGTTATGTCAAATGGATTATGCAGACAAATGTCTAATGTGAACTTTCTGTTTTTAGAAAACGCTGTGCTCCCAAGTAAATAAAATACTGAAGTTTTTAGTGACAATCGTGTCTGTCCCCAATTTAAAATAACAAAACAAACAAATTAACCGTTTTTGTCAACAACAAATTAACTATTTTGGTGGCCTGTACTGTTAGGTGTTTACCTTTTTAGGATTTGGGTGACAGAAAAGGGGAATATGGGCCAACATTTCTTGATAAGAATGTTCATCTCTCTCGGTAACCTGAATAACTCCATCTAACACTAAAACATTACCATATGTTTTGCTGAAATACAACACACAAAAATAATAAAATATAAGATTTAATCACTAAAATTATCATTAGTCTATTTGATTTAATATTTTAGTTTAGATTATCAGTTTATTCAAGTGCTGAAATTTGCCTAAAGTACCGTATATGAAATGTAAATATAAAATGTAAGAATGTAATACTAATTAATCATGGAATGGATTGGATAATCAAAACTACTATGGCTAATTAAGGTGTTCTCAATTCCGACCATCAACTAAAATATCAACCCAGAACCTTTCGGACTTGTTCAAGCATGGTTCCCGACAACTTGTCAGACAAATATGCAACTGACCAGGAAAGCTTGATTATTCGGGGTGGTGTGGATAAACCAGATATATAGGCGACTGCATCAAAATACTCTTGACAATGACAATGTCAATAATATAAATAATTAAAAGAAGTCAATAAGAATTTGTAAAAAGAATTGCCCATGATAATGATGGGCTACTGTAACTGATACCTCTTGAACACCAAAATATCTTGAAATTTCGATTTCTCATGATATAAAACTTTGTCAACCTCTAATGACATACACTGTCCCGGCCACAATGGGCTGAGTTCGCTAAACCATCCGTTTCTGATCGAATCCATCTTTTATGTTTTAAAGCTCTTCGTACAACAACGTGGTTAGTTTTGTGGTTAATACTAAAAATAGACTTCAGCGTGGCACAATTCAAAGTGGCCTCCCTTTGACCAGTGTTGATTTCCTTTTATTTTGGGATCTTCCTTATTGCAATCGTAAACAATAACTTTACGCATGCGCTTAAGTCTCACCTAACCAGACATTTTTATTTACCATTCTGATTCGTTCTATCCTGCCGATGTATAACGGGCAGTGATTTAGTACTAAAGCAGAACTTTATGATCGAACCATGGATCTTCACAATAAATCTACATATTATTATGCATAATAACTATGGTACTTGCATAATAGTGACATGTCCTCCAAAGCAGATTCCTCTGGTTTACAATGGTTAGCGAGACATGCCATGGAGCAAGATAGAAGACAACTCGCCCCAAGATAGAAGACATCTCATCCCTAAATAAAAGACAACTCATCCCAACTTAGTTTTGTTTGGTTTAATACATGAGTCGAGATATCAACAATTTATTAAATAATACATTTATTACATCAACACAAAATACATTTATAAGTTTTTTTCTTCATTTTCTTACGAAGTTTTTTCTTCAGTCACTTAGTCTGTCACTGGAGTGGTTTGTCGGTCCATAGATTCCTCCACATCTTTTTAATAACTAATTGTTGCTAACAGTTTGGTTTCTATAAGAATTCCACAGTTGGAATAGCTTGAACTGCGTGGATCTGGTACAACAATGTTAGTAGAAGGTAAAACAACAAAGTACTACTAAAACATTAATACAAACAGTGATACACATCCATCAATTTGATTAAAACAACAATATGAATTTTATTAAAATAACACATTTTTATAACAAAATCAGATTGGTCTGAGTTGTCTTCGAAGATAGCAATATTTTTAACACAAATATAACTAGTACTTATATTTGTTGGGATGGGTTGTCTTATAACTCGACCCAAGTTTTAAGGTTGGGGCGATATGTCCTCTAAATTTGGAAGAGTTGTCTTATATTGGGATGAGTTGTCTTGAATGAGCTGTCTTTGGGATGAGTTGTCTGTATACCGATAGAAGATACCTCGTATGTCGAAAAGCGTCATGTTAATAAAGACTTCTACACATGCGCAGTGTTAAATACCATGACAAAATGTGGATTCGTAATACGGTCAAAATTATACTCGGGGCTCTTCCGGTTGTTTGATGATGGCAACGAATAAAACTGATAAAAAGTCTGACTTTAATCTTGAACGACTGTTGCAGTTGTTTAGGGCGTGCAAAGATGCTGATGGTGAGATAAGCATAGATCGATATAATGATGCTTACGACGAGCTTTGCAAGTATGTTCACAGACGATGTCAATTAATGTCAACAAAAAAACTTGTTACTTTATTGAATTGTTAAATTGCTAATCCCGATAATTTTTTTGAGAATAAAACTGTTTAATTTTGTTTTAAAATCCCTGAAAATCCTCTACCTAAGGGCCGAGCAACTAACTCAATATTTGTGATAAGTTTTCAAATAACTGAAACCCGTCAGTCATCATCTCGAAATGGAGACCGGTGTCCCAAGCTGTACGTATTAATAGTATTATGCGGTGTCTAGATAAAACGAGACATTTCTTGTATAAAAATAATGTGTAGGTGAAATTTTCCTTTCATTATCAAGTACAGCATTTGGGTCATTCACTGTATAGACCTCTCAATGAACGGGAATCGATTATCAGGTCTTCCAACGAAAAAATTGACCCGAAATCTTAAAAGGAGTACGTGTCCGGATAAGCATCATAATAAAAACAATGACATGTTATGATTTTTGTTTATTGATGTCCATTTAATCAATGACTTGGACATTAAAAGGATTGCCTTCAAATAAACTCTTGATTTCGTTTCATGTTGCACCCTGTTCCTAATGCATCTTGGCAGCCTTCACCTCGCGCCAATATAGGTGATTTCCGGTTTCCCTGTTTGTTATTGGTCATCGCGGAATATTTTTGTGAAATCTCTTAAAATAGACAAGAAAAAAGATTTTGTGGAAAATAGATGGATATGATACGTAAGTTTAATGTGTTAGTGGTGCAGATAACTGAAAATTGGGAATTTAGCCGTACGCTGAAAGAAGTAAACTAGTTATCAACTTTTGCGACGAGGTTTTGACTGTTCGGATGTTTGATGTTACGTCTTCAGAATATTAAAGAGTAACATCTAACTTTTTGGATTAGGGTGCCCTATACATTACATTGAAAATTTTCTCTACAGAAAGTTGAACTCAACACAGCGAGATATGCACGCATTAGTGGCTTGTCTCAAAGTGATTTCTGGCAAATTATGCAATGCGATAATACTCAGCGCTAGAGTCTATAAGTAGCCATCGCACGTGCAATTCTAGCTATACACATCTATCAACTATTATTACAGCCGTAAAAAGTCTATTGTTGACGATTCTGAATAGCAGTAATATTTAACTTTTTGGTTATTACAGCAGCTTTAGAAATTAAGTCTGTTTTATTTTTTAAATTGCTTTATCATCATTAACTGTACCGTTAGGAACGGCACTTTTTGGTTTAGTACAAAAAATATCTCTGAAACAATCAGGTTAGGCAAGAACATGATACTAGCAGTAGTTAAATTTGACTTTTACAAGGTTCTTAAAACAATTGTTGAATTGCCTAACATGCATATTTCTAAATTCAATTTCTTGTTCGACAACTTTCAGTTATGTTTCATTAAAAAAGTAGTCTTCAATATCCTGACCTATCAATCAGACGTAGAATGGTCGGTAGACTGGTTAAGCGAGACTAATTTCAAATCAAATGTAACCTATTTTTTACTCAAAAGTGCATGGATGTTATGTCCGACACTCGTAACCATTTTTCCGTCTATTATTTATGGATGGTTAAAATACATCAAGGAATAACACCATCTTACCTGATCATGAATCACAATCAGTTCTGGCTAATGTGTTCGTACAATATTTTCATGATAAGATTTCGCTAAATGGTCATAGCTTATTAAATACAACATGACCATTTATTTAGTGACTATAAATGTGCGAAATTTATTTAAGGCTTGGTATATGTAAATATTGTGTCGAGATATTTATTTATGGTGGGGCACCCTACATTTGGATTAAAACATATTCAAACTAATTAATCTATCAAAAATTTGATTCATTCAGACCCCTCGAACTCAAATCAAAACATTGTATTCTCGAGGAAATACCAAAAGCTATACCGTAAAGAGTCTATTTAAAGAAACCATATTGGTCATGTGACTTTCATGTTGTCTTTAATTGCTGTCCATTTACATCAAAGCCAAAGTAAATTCTGGGATTTTCTGCAGTTTAGTCTCAGAATCTGTAGTATATGTATGTTTAAGTCTCTCACTTTTTCCAAATCCGCTCGCCATCATGTTTATCAACATTAAGCACTCTCTAATGCAAAGAAGTCAGAAAACCTTTGACGTCACTCGAGCAGACAGCCCTAATCGCTGGGCTGACAATTAGTGACACTCATCTTTTATAGTCTGGAGGCTCAGCGCGGGGGGGGGGGGGGTGTTCATCAAATGGGCACAAAACCAGACCCAACTTTTCTAGAGTAAAATTGGGGGTTTGCCAGATGGTTAACGCGTTCACATCGATCATTAGGTCTATCATTGAGTCAAGCTAGGTGGTTTTGATCCCCCCGCTTGTACATGACAAGAAGTAGGGTCACCTGTCCAACCTCCTAGGTTTTCTCCGGCTTCCTCCCACTGCTACAGACCACTACACGCAAGTGAATTATTGAAATAAAATTGAACCATAAGTTTGTATCGAAATGACCTAGTTTGTGTCGAGTGGACATTAAACCCCATATCTCTCTCTCTCTCTCTAAACTATTAAAATTGATTTTTTTTTTTTTCAGATTATTTTATTTGTTGGGTAAAGTTTTTTCATTTGTGGCATCAGATGTAGAAGAAAAGGTGAACATTTTAAGAGATTATCGGAAATTGCCCAGTGAATCCCAACATTACCAATCCATCCAGTCAATGATAAAATATGAAGTGGAACACAAAACAACTAATAATAAAAAGAAAGCCTCGGGATGTAGAACCTTGCTTCGACTTCACAGAGCCTTGGAGTTTACATACGAGTTCATGACCGAGCTTGGTAAAGCTGAAAGCTCCTCAAAAATGTCTACTGCTGCTTCAGAGGCGTATGGAAGATCTTTAGCCAAATTTCATCCGTTTCTCATCCGTCAAGCAGTTTATCTAGCAGTACACACTTTACCCCATCGTGATCAATTAATGAAAAATATGAAAATAGAAGATGTAGAAAAGGGAAAAGAAGTCCTAGAACAAATCGTAACAGAGCAAAAAATGATTTATGAAATAACACAAGATTTGTATGCTAAAAATAATCTGTTAGATTTACCTTGATAACATAGACTATACTATATTCAGATTTATTTCTATAGGTTGTTATAAATTTTTTGTTGTATATTTTTGTTATAAAAATATTTTCAGGCCCGTAGCTAGCAGGGGGCAGCCCAACCATTGTCTCTTGGCTTTATGGGCACATTGGTCGTTGACTTCGTTTTTTGTCCAATGGAAGGGGCGTTGTTCGTTGGCCAGAAGGGGCAGCTGCCCAACCCCCACCACCCCATCATCCCCCACGGGCCTGATTTTACATTGCCTGCAATCAGAGATAAAAGGGAATACGCGCAGTTAGGCATCATATTGAATTTTACTACTGTCTGAGCCATGCTAAATGATAAAGTGAATATAATTAATTATGTTCTTTTAAAAACTTATCCATTATATTTTAAGTCACCCCGTTTGCTTGTATTTTCAACAGTACATCTGTACATCACAACGTGCCACCAGTCACGTGTTGAAAGAGCATTGGCACACTTTTACAAACATTTGTTATAATAAAAAAAAACTGCAGTTTTAGTCGCATGAGTTAGTGTAATGATAAAATGCAACTGAAGGCTATTACATAGAAAACTGAAAATGAAACAATTATCACCAGCCTACTCAATTTATGCTAAAGATATCAAATTTTATAAGCGTTTATTTGCTTTTGGGTTCATAGAACAAACATTTCGTTTGTTTGTAGTTACAAATTTCATTTTACTTGTCTCCATGACACGAGGATCTTGATGAGTTAATTAAATAACCTGCGTTCTGGTTGAGTGGTCTGATGAGTTGAGTTCTATCGTCTAGCACACGAAACTGTGGGTAGACATTCGCATCGATAAAATAAAAACAAATCATAGCAAAAGTTGTATTTCAGAATACCCACTTGAAACCCTGACAATTAGTGTTTAATCCAGTGTTTGATGTCCTAGGGTCAAAAGTGGCTTGTACACCCCCTGACACAACCTCCTACTACAACCGGTCAGATCTTCCTGTAGTGGAGGCCACCGAATGTATAAATAACAAAACAAAATATAGATCTGTATTTTAATCAGATCGCAAACAAACCAGCAAAACCACTCAAACTCATTTTAACATTGGATAGCTTTGACTACGACTCACACCGATATATTTTAAAAATAAGACATATACAGTAGATTTTAGTCATAAAAATATTTCAAAAGAGCCAGAAGATTGCAAAGCGATCTTATTGGAGTATTTAAGATGGAAACAAAATAACAGACATCGTGGCATATTTATGTCTGAAGACACCCAAACTGTGACTTGTATTGTTGCTATATATAGCATGCTATAACCTGTGTGAAATGATTTATTTTCCAGGAGGTGATTTTAAACATATAGTTAATACCATCATGATGTAATTTGTTCATACAGGACGAAAACACTTTTATGTTTTAGAATGACTCAGACAGTAATTTTCATGGCTTAATTTACTCATCCAAATAGACAAATGTTCCTAGAAAATAATTCTTATAAACAACATGATAAAGTTGTTATTTTTATTATGAGAAATCATTTAGATCAGTAGTGATACTTTGAGAAAATAAAAACACAAAAATATATAAAACAAATAATAATGCATCAGTTTTGAAAGAAGTGTCTTGAGAACCAAAATAGAGATTCAACATTCCCATTTTTTTACTTTGACGATCAGAGATTTTAAAGAAGCATAATATTTATTATCTTTTGGGTTTTAGTTGTTGTACATTTGCATTTACACAACAGAACATGTTTTACAGGATGCACGTTTGAAGTGAGCTCACCACACACTTGCAAATATTTAATTTAGCTGTTTTAATTAATATCTTAAGTAGACAAATACTTGTTTTCTTCATACCGCGCTATCAAGCATTCTATCTTTCTGATGGTACAAATATTGATGTACTTGACTGTCCTTATTTCACTAAGAGGAAAGTATAATATTGTCTTTCTTAAAGACTGATTAAAACCACCTTTTTTATAAAAAAAAATCCCATTAATACTGTGATTTCCAAAATTTGAAAATAATTTTTCACAATAATATTCATATATATATATATATATATATATATATATATATATTCATACATTATGCCCATGGAATTGAGATAACATCAGTTTATATTATAATGAGCCATGGAAATAATAATTGTAGTTGGATATTTAAAAAAATGTCAGTCACTACTGACTTTATAAGTGAAAGAAAGCAGGGACTATTGAAATGGGTCTGCCCGTCGCACTTTTTGGGACACAATAACACTGCTCCTAATTGGGGTAGAAGGTTCAAACTTGGTGTTGGTGTTTATTAGATGAATGACTTGATGGAGTTCGAAGATGTGCATTTTCTGCTTAGGCTAAGCGGAGATAAGAAAATTTGACTGGTTGATGCTTTGAGACACGATGACTTTGGTTCTAATTAATGGAGAGTGATGAAACTTGGTGTATAGTTTCATTATCTCAATACCATGACTAAGTTTGATAATGAGCATTTTCTGCTGGTGGTAAGCAGAGCGATAAGCAATTTGATTGGGCGAGACTTTGGAGGTTGGTAACTTTGAATCTAATTAAATGAGAGTGGTGAAACATGGTGTATAGTTCATTACATCAATACCTTGAGGTAGTTTGATAATGAGCATTTTCTGTTTTGGCTAAGTATCAATGAGCAATTTGATTGGTCAAAACATTGCAACATAACAACTTTGCTTTTGAGGTAGAATGTTAAACTTGGTGTAGAATCTGCACTGTAGATGTTTATTTGTTGAATGTCTTGCCCTAGTTCAATGATTAACGTTATGAGCTAAAGCTAAGCAGAGTTAAGAAATTTCATTGTTAAAGCTTTGTGACAAGATAACTTTGATTATAACTGATGGAGAGTGATGAAATTTGGTGTATATAAGTTTCACTACCAGGTACTTCAAAACCTTGACAAGAGTTCAATAGTGAACTTTTTCTGCTTAGACTAAGTATAAATAATCAGTTTGATTGCTCGATACTTTTCAAAAAGATGAATGTGTAATTACTTAATATGAATCATCTGTTTATTTGGGATTGCAGCAGGGGACATCAGCCTCACTGTTAGCTTGTTAATCTTGTGTTGGACATGTTTTTCTAAAGCAATATAAGAGGACGGAATAACGGACTCTAGAGAACTGTGACAGGTGGAGTTTTTCTGGCCTTGGTTGTAATGCATACATTTATTTATTTGTATTTATCGCCCCTTTTAAGGATGCATTTTGTAAGAATTAAGCTGGCTGCTCTTTCTAAAATAGTTCAAAAATAGATAATGAAAAATGAATAATTTAAAAATTTCAATCAAATTAATTTTTTCTTAAGTTTAGACAAGAATTAGTCTAGTCTACATATTCTTGATTATCAAGCACCATGGCCACGATAATAAACAAAGTCTTGATTATCAATTTAGGAGTTAAATTATTAAATGGTGTGTACAAATCTATTCAATATCTAAATAATTATGATAATTGAAGCCTAAAAAATGACCTGCAATAGACAGATTTTTCTCTTTCCTAATGCATCTTTAATAATACTATTCTAATATTAGAAATTGTTATAAAAGGGAAGAACAATGCATGATCTGATTCTGTAGTCTGTACATTTTTCAAAGAATGCATTTTTCAAACATTAACATTATTTCACTCCACATTTATATTTTGAAAAAAGCATAACTGTGATTAAATATATATGATCTTAATAGTTATTCACCATTTTTAATGTATTCTTTACTTGTAGAAATAAATAATTTTATTTTAAAGAAACATATCTATGGTGATAATTTACTGATGAAATTATGAAATATGGACATCTTTGAATATGTCTGTGATCTTGAGAGTTTTTTGCTGTCTGGACTGCTGGAAAACTATAGATAATAGATCATTATTTAAGGAAATTCTGTTAAAATATGGTCTTCGAAGGAATTTTAAGTGAGCAGAAATTCGCCCATGTATCTGTTATCACCCGTCACTTCAGAAAGTTATATAGAGGGATAACTCGTGTTTTCCTTTTACGTTCGTCACTTCCTATTGTTGAAACATTGATTATTCATCTATCGTAGCAATGATCTCTGTGATAAAATAATATTTGGAACGTGTTTAACCAGTTCTATCACATATGTGATAATGATTGGCACCAATATTGTCCTTTAAACCATTTGAGGGATTTCAATCCATAGGGGTTGGTCATTCTTCCTCAAAACTGTCTGGTGAATTTCAAACAAATTATTAGATATGTTGCTTATTCTTTACTAATATTTTTATGCTTAGACATTTTCGTATTACCTCTTGAACAGCATTTTGTAGGTATGTTGACTTTTAGATACCAAGCCCTAAGAACAGGCAAATTTTAACATTTTCGTATAGAAATTATGTTCCTAGTCTAATCCAAGCCACTGATGGATGATAAGCTCTGTCTTTCCATTCATGGGCCCATTTTAGACACTGAGACAGCTAATCTCTCCCTTTTTGAAATACTATATTTTATTCTCCCTGTAGAGGAGAAGAGCATAAATGTAAATTTTCCTTCTTAAGGTAAAAATTTGAATACAATTTACAAATAGATTTGGTTCAAACAGTTCAAGAAGTTTCTGAGAACAGGCCAGAATTTGTGTTGCTGAGATCTATTTGCTGCAAATCGACTATTGAGCTTTATTTTATAAAATTTGCGTCGCAAATTATATTCTTTTCAAATTCTGCACCTACCTGGCTTATGAAGACGGGCTTACTCCATATAGTGTGCCATGAAAGAAGTTTTGCCCTGACAGTGGGTGGCTCTGTGGCCTACTTTGATTTTGAATTCCAACTGCCACATGGAATCTACTTACATGCATTACCAATGAAGATCGACTGCCTTCATCAACTACTGTTAATCACAGCACAACCAATGGAACAAATAGTTTTCCAGGAAGAAACTACAATTCTACATTTTTGGTAGAAAAATAATTCAGAATTGCTTAAGTTTTTTTGTCAAGCAAGGGCAGAACAAAATTTATTTAAGCAAATACAAAGCAATCTAATTAGGACCCAAAACTACCAGATTTTATTCAAAACTGAAAGATGCTAATTAGGAGAACACCTTCATTCAAATCCACTTGTATTTGAACCAACATACAGTTTTGTTGTAAGAAGTAAAATTGAAAATTAATCTTTTCAAGGTGAGTGAGTTAATTTATTTTAACAAATCTAAAGTAGATTAATTGTAATGAGAATCGTAATACAGCTATTGTAATCAAGAAACATGTATCCTATGTCAACATTATATATTGACGCCGTGTTGGTGCTAAAAAGGAAGACATTACGACTGTACTATACACCGAAAAGTACCCCAAAACATTTTTTGATTCTAATTACCGAAAAACCCTAAATACTGAAAAATCACTAAACACCGATAAAACAAAACTAATTACAAAAAAAAAAAACCCACCTAAATACTGAAAAATTAGTGAACTCATTGGGTTTCCGAATCCCAGTGGAGTTGATTGGTCGATGGGAGCCATGCGAGTGACCATCGGTGCTATGAGCCCATTAGGA